TTCGAATAAAGAACATGTGAGCATGTTTGAGATTATAGCTATTGAAGAGTGGAAATGTGCAACGGGAAGATCAGGAAGCCTACAAGGAATGGGATCAGGCGTGTGTCAAAAATGTCAGAGCAGTCTGCGTCGAGACTGTAACATTCCAAATTTCGGCCCATTTTTGGGATTTATAAAACGTGTATTTCGTCAGTGCTCTTATAATAGAATCTTGCTCGGAACTGATCACTCTTGGGTTATTTTTAAATTAGAGATTTCGCTAGAATCGCACTCGATCGAATTTGGCTGTTATTTAGAGCCCGAACTTTAGTGTCGAATTTCTGGGAGTTTCGTGACGAATTTAATTGGACCGTATCGACATTATTGTGGCCAGCGTCGATATTGCCCGGGATAAGTGAAAAGTGAAATTTGGACCGGGTGCGGATTTGGACTAGTAGACCTCTCTCGTAATGTGTTTTAGTTATTATCTTTTGGCCTTTTTACTAACTTATAATTAGGGTTTTTCGTGGGCCGTTGGATCGTTTTCGGGTTTGAACGAAAACCGTCGGGTCGCACTTGAGTACGTTGACTTTGTCCCTTTCTCTCTCTCTCTCTCTCTCTCCCCTCTGCCGCGTCCCCTCCCTCCTTCCCCATGCACGTCCACTCCTCTCTCTCTCTTCCTTTTCTTTATTCTTCTTTCTTTCCTTTTCTTCTTCTTTTTCCTTTCCCCTTCCCCGCCGTTACTCCTGCTAGACCAGTCCCCAGCCCAGCCGCTCGCCGCGCCCGACCGCTGCCGCCGTCGCCAGCTAGCCCAACCGTGTGCCAGCTCGCCCGACCGCCACGTCGCTCGCCCAGCCGCCGCACCACTCGTTCGGCCGACCCCCTCGGCTTGGCTATCCTTCCCCCCTCCTTCGCGCACAGTAGCAGCTCGTCGCCGTGTCAGCCGCGGCCCGGCTTCGCCAAACCGCCGGCTAGCTCGCCCAGCCACGTTCCGCCGCCTGCGATGCCGCCGTGCCACCCCGACCGTCGCCGACTCACCCCCTCAGCCCCAACTTCCTCTCTCTCGCCACCATCGCCCCAGCTTTCCCCCCCAAGTTGCCGTCGCCGGCATGCGAGCCCATTGCCTTCGCCCACTCAGCTCGCCGCCGCTGGCCGTTCCCCAGCCGCCCAGGCCAGCGAGCCGGCGGCCGTCGGCCCGGCCCAGCCACTCGCCCAAAGACGCTGGCCGCCGTTGCCCGGTCGTGGCCGAGCCCATTGCCCTCGCCCAGGCCGTGGCCGAGTTGCCTAATCGCTCGCCCAGCCCGTTGCCCGCGTGTCCCGACCGCTTCCTTGAAGCTGCCATCACGCCCTCGCCCGCGCCAAGCTACTACTGTTCACCAGGGTCATTTTGGCCCCCTTGACGATTTTTCCCTGGCCAAATTTAGGTAAGCGACTCCCTAAACCCTACCTAGTACTTTGGGTATTTTTTTAGACTTGTTTAGGGGTTAATTAGTACCAGTTTAGTGGTTAAGCTTGGATTAGGACCAATATGTGAATGTGGTTAATTGGTAGATTAAATTGTGGTGATTATGTGGCATATTTAGTGGTTGATTTATGTGGGCGCGATGATCGGATTGTCGTGGCATTTATGGGTGAAATTGACGTTTGATTGGGCCGACTTGAGTGTCGAATTGGTGGGCTAGTGTGATGAGTTTGTGATTTGGATTGGATTTGTACGACATGTGAGAATGGCGAATTGTGATGTGGGGTATGTGCGTGTGAAATGTCTAGTGAGGGACGGAGCCCGGATTGATCGGAGGACTGACCTGAGGCGTGTTTACGCGGGTCGTGAGAAAGTGTGAAATGTCCAATGAGGGACGGAGCCCGGATTGATCGGAGGGCTGACTTGAGGCGTGTTTATGCGGGTCGTGAGAAAGTGTGAAATGTCTAGTGAGGGACGAAGCCCAGATTGACCGGGGGTCTGACCTGAGGCGTGTTTACGCGGGTCGTGAGAAAGTGTGAAATGTCCAGTGAGGGACGGAGCCCGGATTGATCGGAGGGCTGACCTGAGGCGTGTTGACGCGGGTCGTGGAAAGTTGCTCGGCCACGAATGCGAAATGAGTGTGATTGAATTGAGTGAATGTACGTGTGTATGGCGCCCGAATGATGGCAATGTTTTCATGAGTTATTATGATATTCATGTGATTTGACTAATATATAGAGCTGGCGTGTGAATCAGGGCGAGGTAAGTGTGTATTTGCGAGTTTGTTATATTGGTGGTTAGATTGCATGTTAGACTCATATGGGTACGCATTGGCCTAGGTGGGGTATAGGTTGTCTGCTTATTGAGATTTATTCTCATTGCTGTAGTGTAAACCTTTTCAGACTCCCGACCCCGACCATGAGTGATCCGCCCGAACGTTTTGGGATCTCGAGGCATACTGAGCACTCGGCGGTGGAGTACCCCGTAAGAGACGGGGAGGCCTATGTTAAGCATACCACGGTGGTGTGGGTAGACGTGGGTAGGCCGGAGTTGCAGCCCAATACATACCGGGCATACTGTTATCGGGATTTATACTGAGTCTATGGACCACTTCGGCATTTTGATGTTCCATTTAATGGGGTAGGCGAGTGGGACCCCTTAGCTGTTCTTGCTCCTGATGGTGAGGTCCTGCACCCCGAAGATCCCCCGGTAAACCCTAGTCCTGAACCGGAGCCTGAACCCGAACCTATGGCCCCTGCAGACCTCGAGCTTGAAGAGGAATTTGAGGAGTCTGAGCCCGAGCCCGAGGAGGAGCCCACGGAGCCCGAGATCGAGGAAGAATTAAAAGAACTAGAGCCTGAGTCCGAGCCTAAGGAGGAACCTATGGTGTCCGAGCACGAGGATGAGCCGATCAAGATCGAATCGGACACGGAGTCGGAGCCTTCAAGGTCCAATTCAGATTAGGCACCGTAGGGGTATTTAGGTGCTGGGCCTAGAAGCCCTTTTTGGTAGAGCCCTTTTTGTGCAGATTGTTAGCCTACCCTGCCACCTGTCCCTTTTTTATGATGAAGGTGAATACTAACCCTAGAAGCCTAATGTATGAATTTTATGGTCTCAAGCTAATGATATGGGTTTATTGATTTTGTGCAAGTGCTACCCTATTGTCATTGTTTATTGTCTAGGATATTTAATTTCCACTTTCGCTTGCATTCGCCTTCGGGTGTTTTGTTTGGGTTGGCGACACGTCCTGGGACGTCGCTTTCGATACGGCCATCGAAGGGGTGTCGCGAGCCCGTTGGGGTTTGGAGCGTGACAGACAGTAGTCGCAGAACCTATTTTCGGATAGCATGGAAATGTTTAGGATAAAGGGTTATATGGGCAGCACCATCTCTGGACAGCAGAACCAACAGATCTCTAATGGTTAGTTGATCTTCTGAAGCACCTCTAACGGGAAGATTGAAGATGACTATTTAAGAGAAGAGCTTCTAGGCCAAAATGTTAGAGAGCGCAATGTAGAATCCAAACATTTTCTCTGAGCTGCTTTCCTCGTTGATATTGTTATGTTCTCTCGAAAGATCTTCACTGTGATAATCTTGTTGTATAGTAATTGTGTGAAAGATCAAGTGTACAAGAGTAAATGCAGTAGCTGAGTCCTGATAGTGTGATCTATCATTATTAAAGGATTAATACTTGCCAATTGAACTTGTTAAGCAGATTCCTAATGCAATCGAACCTGTATTGCGGTTCTTAGTCTGGAGAGTGGATGTAGGCTTAGGGATAAAGCCAAACCACTATATATCTGCTTGCAAATCTTCTATCCATTCACTATTGGTATTACTTGATTTTTATTATCATGATTTGTCAAACGGCAGCATGCACCTGATTTCTCCAAACTATTTCTGCCAATGTTTGAAGTTTCACTTGTTATATTCCGCAAATGTTTTTCATAGTTCTCAAACAACTTATTCACCCCCCTTTAGGTTGTATTGTTAGCCCCAACATCCCTCATACATCGGGCTTAGGTTGGAGCTGCAATAACCTGTAACTTTGCCATGTGACTGTTGGATCCATACTTGTTGGCAATCTTAGGCTCTGAGATCAGTGTTGGGTGGTCTTGAGCCTTTCTCATTCCAAAAGCTAGCTTAAATGGTGATGTTTTTCCTCACACTTATAACTGACCACCAACCCCTTCCACAACCGATGTTGGACAACCTCAACACAACCAAGATTACATTGCTCAAGCATTGTCAGGACAAATGATTTGTCATCATGACATCCTTGTACACCAAGGCCGTAATAAATTCACAGCCAAACGGTAATTGCGGAAGCATGAGCACACCTTTTATTACATTCCATGGATGCCTTAATGAGGAATGCACTATATATTAACCTCGCAATTAAAATGATCACCACCTCTCTCTTCAATGTTTTGATCTTCATGTGCTTGTCTCATTAACCTTGTGCTACAATGGGTGTTTTGAAAGTAAGGAAGAACCATATGTAGCTTACGTGCTTTCATAGTCAAATATTTATATTTGTTTTTATGTCATTAAATGGTTAGTTAGCTACAAAGAAGACAACGGGATATTATGACTCGTCAAACAGCTAACGAAAGTACATCATTTGTTTACTAGAATGGAGAACATCAGCTTTATAACGAGAGACTTTTTTCCTGATTTAGGTTGCATTAAATGGGTGACCATAAAATATTTGATGTCCTATCTTATTTGAAATTGCCATCCAAAGGTATTTCACAAGAGAGAACTTTTTGTGAATGATATATATAATTATTTTTTTTTGGCTAAACACGTGCTCATACATATCATTTCATTTGTCTAGTTGGCAGCATCACCATGTCATGCTCTCATGGAATGTCCTACCTGAGAATGACAATCTTATGCAATTTGTAAAACATTGATTGCATGAAGACATTTGACACGATTCCGAAGAGGCATGATAATTTGTATTTATATCTCATAATCTAATTCCAGATAACAAAGAGTAGACTCATTTTATCACAATTGAAATTTCATAGAAATGTACTTCACTCATGGTCAAGTAGAAAATTAATACGGAACTTTTTATTAGTTGAGCAATGAAACCACAAAGCATTACATAAGTTCAATGACTTTAGTGTAATGAATAAGTCTTTTGGCAACTTTGAGAGCATGAATCCGCACAAGCTCCAACCTTGTTCACGTCCAGTCCAACTTTCTTGGTGTCTACATGAGTTCAAATATGAAACAAGAGATTAAAAAAGTCACTCACATCAAAATTGAAATTGAATTTTTATCGAAGTCTAAGGAAATGAAATGATTTAGCATTCAACTATCCTCTCATAATTAAAATATATCAATGAAACACTGATAAAGAAACCAAGATTATACAATGAGTTCCTTGATTTTATGGATCTCATAAGAAGCTACGTTCTATCTGCGATCTCGACGTGAAGATTATTACCTAGATGGTAGGCAAGGCAAGTAGATACGAAACAACCGATATCGCAGTGCTCTGATGCCGCGAATGTCAAGGACCCTCCTACACGATCATAGCAACTGTGAAAGCATCCAACTGGGTCAGGTCGATACCAACAATGGAATATACACTTCCACCTGCGCGACAAAAGTATGTGCGCGTCAGCATCGGCACCGACAGACGACCATAATATTAGAGCCGCCACGAGCATCATCGACCCCATTCTCTTGGATGCTATTATCACCATGGTTATTCCCACCTAAATTGTTCTTAGCCTCACTCTCTCTCTCTCTCTCAATGAGTCTTGACAACTTTGTGACCTAGTGCAGTCATGTATTGAGATGAACCGGTGCAACACCTTTATATACCGAGAGATTCATTCAAGTTGTTGAATGAGTTGAGGACTAAAAAGGTATGTAGAGGAGAAAGATTATCCTTTTCATTTGATGATATATATCATTGAGTCTAATGATATGGATTTCTTATCAAATTTTAGGTCCAGTAAAAAGGTGATGATATGTTGCCATCTATTGCGAGATTTTCTTCTTATATTCAAGTACTTGTCAAATTTAATCTCATCAATAGGTTTCTTTTTAAAGGGCCCTAATTTTCTTTATAGCCAAATTTCACGCAAACAGTTTTATATTGATGCGAAAAGCAGTTAATCGGCAAGGAGTGTGTGCAAAAGTTTTCACCAAAGCAATGTCAAACAAGAACTAATGTCGATCCATAATGAGGACGATGGTTGTTCAGTAGACATTGAAGTCAAAGCATAACCGAAACATGTGAAACAAGATTCTGCAAACCTGAAGAAGGACAATTCTAGATTGAAAATAATGTTGGTTGTGTTGTTGATGTTTATAGTAATAAAACATTATAAGAGTTTGCCATAGAGTGTGTTATTTCGAACCAAGTTAAATAACTTTGAATTTGCATGTTAAATAACTTGATTCAAGTTGCAAATTGATATGGTTTTGGGAGAGCCTGTGTGACATCCCGAATTTCGGCCCATTTTTGGGACTTATAAAACGCGTAATTTGTCAGTGTGCTTATAGTAAAATCTCGCCCGGGAACTGATCACTCCCGGTTATTATTTTAAAATAGAGATTTCGCTAGAATCGCAGTCGATCGAATTTGGCCGTTATTTAGATCCTGAACTTGGCAGTCGATTTTCGGAAGTTTCGGGACGAAATAAATTGGACGGTGTCGATATGGTCGGGGCCAACGTTGAGATTGTCAGGAATAATGGAAAAAGGGGAGTTTTTAACCGGGTGCAAATTTGGACTAGTAGACCTCCCTCGCTATACTTTGATTTAATTAATTTGGCCTTTGTCCCTTTTTATATTCGAGGCTTATTTTAGACGGGCAGATCGTTTTCGATTTTGAGATTGGGCCTCCGGATCGCGATTAATATTTGAATGAAAATTATTTGTTTCTTTTGTTCTCTCTCGCGCCGAAGACACCCCCCTTGGCCGCGCGTCCGTCCTACTCTCTCTCTCTTTTTCTTTTTTTCTTTCTTTCTCTCTTCTCTCTCTCCTCTGCCAGCACGCACCCCTCTCTCCCCCATCATCACGTCTGTCCTTTCCTCCTTCTCTCCCTCTCTCTCTTCCCTCCTCTCTGACCGCACGCAACCCTCCCATGCAGAAGTCCACTCACGCCCATTCTCCCCCCTCCTCTGACACCCTCTCTCCTCTCTCTCTTCTTCTTCCTTCTTCTTCTCTTTTTTCTTCCTTTCTTTTTTCTGCTTTGGTCTTCTTCCTCCCCGACGAGCCGCGTCTGGACTCCGTTCCGCCCGACGCCGTCCCGCTCGACGCCAACTGCCGCTCGTCGCCACCGCGCGCCGCCCGACCGTTGCCGCCACCCTCTCGCTGCCACTACAGAAGCCCCCACTCTCTCTCCTCCTCTCGGCCGACTGGGTCTGCTTCACCTTTGCCCAGCTCGCCGACCGCCTGGGCCCGCCGTACCGCCGCGTACTACGCCGTCGCCGTCCAGCTCGACCGCCGCGCCGCGCCATCCGCCAACCGCCGCCCCGACGTCGCCTTCTCCTCTTGCGCTGCGAAAGCAGCAGCTCGCCTTCTTGCCGCTTCTTCACGCGGCCGCGCTGTCCCTGGCTGCCCGGCCCGGCTCGCGTTGCGTCGCCGCCTCCCGGTGCCGCTAGTCGTCAACGTGTTCCACCCCAAGCAGCCGGCAAGCCCCCTCTCCTCCTTCTCTCTCTCTCTCTCGCTCTCTCTCTCTCTCTCTCGGTTTGGCCGTGAGAGGCCTTGAGCCGGAGGAGCTCCGCCGCCGCCGTCACTATTCTGGCGCGGATCCGTCGCCTCGCCCAGCCGACCAGCCGTTCCATTTCTCTCTCTCTCTGACCGTGCCTCTCTCTCCCTCTCTAGGTTGTGGATTAGCTTAGACCGTCGCCGCCGCTCGCGCCGTTCGTCGGAGCCGCCACCGCCGTTACTGTTCCGGCGAGGGACTGCCGCTGTCCAGCCCCTTTTCGTCGCGTGTTCGGCCCGTTTCAAGCTTAGGACATCCGGTGAGTTTGACCCTAAGCCCTAATTAGGACAATTTGCATTTCTAGACGGGTTTTAGGGGTTAATTAGGGTAATTAGGGGCTAAATGGTGGAGGGTGATATGGGCTGGTTCGGTGGTGTTTTTGGTGACCAAGGATGATTATTTAGTCGAGGTTTAGCGGCCCGTATAGTGCTGTGATGTGGCGAAGCATGGGTGTCGAGATTTAGACAAAATGGCGAACTTAGTGGATGAAATTGATAGACCGGGTGGTGGCTGTTCTACGGGTTTAGTGTGATAAATAAATGGAGGTTTAGTAGCCTGAGAAGCGCCGAGTATTGGCTGGACAGGTTTGGATCGGATTAGCCCAAGTTTGGGAAGTTTCTGGTTTAAAGTGTGGATTCTAGTGCGCACCTTATTTGGCATTATGGTGGCTGATTAAAATGGTGTCTTGGGGAGTCTAGTGGAACATTTTGAGGTCATTAAATGGCCCGGCGCAATTGATTTAGTGGCTGTCCACTTTGGAAATTAGTCGGACAAGGCGCGATTGAATTGAGGTTTGGAGTGTAAGTGCCGGAAATGATGGATTGACCGAACTAGTGGTTGAATTGTCCCTAAATGCGAGTGATTTTGTAGTGCCATGACATGGGCCTAATGCTATCAGGAAGGGAGTAATGTGATGGGCCTCAATTTCTGTGGATTCATGCTGAACTGATTGTGTGATTTATACGCGTGAATTGTGTACCGTGCATGAGTGCTTGAATTGAATTTCATGGTCGTGCTAATATGTGGGTTGGGCATATTGAAATGTTGATTGGACATGGTGCATTGTGAACTAATTAATTGGCGTTGTGCTATTGAATGTCCATTGTGAAATCGTGAATGCCCGAGTGTGAAGTTTATGGCCATGAGTTTGCATCACGAGCATTGGCACGGCATGTGCATTTACAAGTGTGCTCGAGTGACATGTGCATTGTGATCACCTAAAATGCCCTGATGCGTTTAACGCGGGGTTCAGATGAAAATTGGTGCTTGTGAATGTGTGATCACAATAAACCCTGATGCGTTTTACGCGGGGTAGTGAACCCGTCCTGAGGCGTGTTACGCGGGACGATGCCCGGTTTACCGGAAGATGACCAACCTGAGGCGTTTTACGCGGGTAATGTGTCATGAGCCTGATGCGTCTTACGCGGGCCAGAGATCGATCTCGAAGTGATAGACCTGATGCGTTTTACGCGGGTCGGACCTGATGCGTTTAACGCGGGTCGGAGGAGAAATTGATAAATGGCAAATGTGCTGAGTGCAAGCGTGCGAAAATGCATTGATGAGGCGTGAGCACGCGTATGAGCACGAGCATAAGCATGATATGCGTTGTGACCAAATGATGTGTACGTGTGCTGCGATTGGGTCCTATGTTTTATGCTTGAACTGTAAGTGCCTAACCTGCAGGGCAAGGTGAGTGTTGGATTTGGGCCTGAGGGCCTAAGTCAATTATGATTTGCTTGGTGTGTTGATTTAGTACTCGTCGGGAGGTGCACTTTAGCCTAATTTAGGTTTAGGGAATTACTCCGAGATTTATTCTCACCGTTGTTGAAACCCAATTTTTCGGACCCCCGAATTTAGATGTCCGAGATTCCGGTTCGTTTTGGGATTCCGCTCCTAGTAGAGCGGACGAGGACGATACACCCCGTAGGGAACGGGGAATCGTATGTTAGGTATCATTCTATTGTTTGGGTGGAGGTGGAGGCGACGCATTACCAGACCCACGAGTATGTGGCATGGTGCTTCGGGGACGGCTTCGGAGAGTATGGTCCTCTCCGGACTTTTGATGTCCCGTTCACCGGATGGGCACGAGATATCCCCGATGCCCCGATGGTGAGGTGACGGACCCTGGTTCCTCATCTGAGGAAGGTATGAGTTCCGACGGAGTTCCAGTAGAGTACGAGATGGATGAGTTCGAGCCGGTGGATATGGACGTGGATGACGGAGAGCCGGAGCCGATCGAGGAGGATCCTGTTCTGGAGGCCGAGCCGGAGGATATGGTCTCAGAGGAGGAGGCTGCTGAGGTCGAGTCAGAGTCGGACTCATCAGGGTCCGAGGAGGAGATGCCTGACAGCTCTTCATCCTCGGAGTCTTCTGATTCCGACCCAGACTGGGCACCGTAGGGCTTAGTGTCCGTCTTAGATGGGGTAGGGCTAGTACCTTTTTGACCAGCGCCCCACCATTAGTAGTAGACTGACCCCCCGAGCCACTTACCCCCCTTTTGTCAGTAGTGGCCTTGACCCGCTTTTGATTTTTGATGATCGGGTTGTATATGAATATTGTATATGATTTCCAATATTAGTGCAATCGTTGTTGTTGGTTTCTGTGGCTATCCTTGGTTGTGTATTTATCTTTGTACGGGTGGTTTTAATTACTTCCGCATGTGCTTTAAATCTCTGTGTTGGGTGTTGGGTCGGCGACGCGTCCTGGGACGTCGCACACGAATCGACCTTCGCGAGGGATGTGGCGCGCCGAGGAGAGCGGGGCATGACATCCCCGTTTGATTTGGTATCAGAGCAAGGTCAGCTCGATCTAATTAGGTCGAAGCCTGGAGTGATAAGGAGCGGTGACCTTGGGTAGCCAGTAGGGTGACCTCGTGTGCTATGTGTACCTCCTGACTGCTTGTGTTTGATTGAGTGCTTGTTTTAGTTGATCGTAAAGTGCAGGTGCGGCAGGACCCGAGGTAAGTACGCGAATCTCCTTGGTTGAGATGTCGTGCTATTGTATAAGATCGCATGCTGGTTGCTTGACTGCTGTTGTGTATACCTGCCTAGGACCTTAG